GGAGAAAGATGAGGCTTTCTGCCCCCATAAAGATTTACAGCCTTGGAAACCCTATTCAGGGTCACTTTGAGTCAGAACCGACTCCACAGCACACCACCACCACCACATACGTGTAGGGCCTGTGTTTCAAAGGATAGTGCCTATTTGAAATTGAGGCCCTGTCTTCCTGCACTTCCTGCAACAATTCTGCTGCTCTGTGAGCTGCCCCTAGGATGCTATTTTTTCTTTTCTTGGAGGACAACAGATAGAGCTCCTTTGGCCTATTTCATGCCTATGGAATTCCAGAGTGGGGGGAGGAGTTGTTTGTATTGTGGTAGTTGGTTAGATCCATATCCTTGGTGAACATTCTAGGACACATCCGTAGTTTGTATAAACAATAGAACTTTTAAAATCTTTAAGTAAGTTTCTATTTTCATTTTGCTCAGCTCATTTTTAAGTCCATCTCTTTCCTCTTGCATTTTACTACAAATGTGTTCCCCTTAAGGTCATGGTTAGAAATCTCCTCAGTCAAATTCCAAGTTTATCCAAGTTCATACACTTCCATAATACATTTGAAACTCAATGTTTGAGTTCATACACTTGCACCATACATTTGAAAATAATTTAGACAAGTTCTTTGCCACTGTGTAGAAAACTGCACCCTTTCTCCATCGTCCAATTACATGTTCATTATTTTCTTCTGAAGCACATTTAATGCCCTCACTTCTAGCACATTTTGTTGCTGACATCATATGTATTCTCTAAGACAATAAAGACTTTATAGCTTTCCTCACTTCCTCTAAACCCTCGCCAGAAGTGCCTTTGACGTCCATAGTTCTACGAACAATCTTTTCACGGAAATCTAACCATTTACTATTGTTTGCCATCGAGTTTGGACTCATAACAATTCTATGTAGGCCTTCCAAGGCCATAAATCTTTATGGGAACAGAAAGCCTCACATCTTTCTCCCAAGGAGCAGCTAGTAGGCTTGAACCACTGACCTTTTGGTTAGCAGTTCAGTGCTTAACCTACAGCACCTTAAAACTCTTTTAGCCTCCCATTGCTCAATTCTCAAACCACTTCCACATTGTAAGCATTTGTTAGGACAGTCCTTCACTCTTTCAGTATCAAATTCTGTCTTAATTATCTAGTGCTGCTATAGTAGATGGTTGGTACAAACAGAATTCTATTTCTAGTTTAGTTAGAATGCTAGAAAGCCCTAAATCGGGGTCCCAGCTCTAGGGTAAAGTCCTTGTCTCTCCTCAGCTTGTGCTCCTGGCCAGTCTTCATATGGTTTGGCACCTCTCTTCCCCCACCTCTGCTCTGCTTGCTTGTTTAATCCCCCTTCTATCTCAAAAGTGATTGACTCAAAGTATATCCTACACTGATTCTGCCTCAAACAAAAGGAGCTCTGGTAATGCAGTGGTTATGAGTCTGGCTGCTTACCTCAAGGTCAGCAGTTTAAAACTACCAGCTGTTCCACAGGAGAAAGATGAGGCTTTCTGTACACGTAAAGATTTACAGCTTCGGAAACCCTGTACAGGATTGCTATGAGTGGGAACCGACTCCACGGCACGCAGCCACCACCACCAACAGCAACTGTATTACAGGATAGATCTTAAAATGTTCTTTTGGAGTCCTGGTGTGGTGCTATGGGTTAATGCATTGGACTGCAAAGTCAATTAGAACCTCAAGGTCAGTGGTTCAAGCTCACTAGCTGCACCTCGGAAACCCTATACAGGGCTGCTATGGGTTGGAACCGACTTGAGAGCTCTTAACAACAACAGAACAAAGACATCCTGTTGTTCAATGGGATTATATCCACAGGCATAGAGGTTAAGATTTACAACAAATATTCTGAGGGATGTATTTCAAATCATAACACCATTCCCATTTTGTATGTTTTGATTTTTATTTTCCTTAGGAAAAAAAAAAAGAATAATGAAAAAGTCTATTGAGGCCCAATAATGGGAGGTGAGAGATTCCTGAGCAGGAGACAGCTGGCTGGGATGGGCAGTAGGGCAGGCCCGGGTGCACACCAGGAAATGCTGAGTCATCCTGTTCCTACCTTAGACAAAGGAGCCCAGGCACCACTTCCTGTTGTTTTTCACATAGCTGGCTTTGCCCAGCGCTCAGCCTTCGTGGCTTCTGGCCTTGCTCCTCTGTTGTCTGGTTCCTAGCGCCCTGTTTTAATGACTTTCAACAACTCATGCTTTGCTGCATAGGATTGCAGCCATCATTGCATAGATGTCCTGCTTCTCCCTCAGTATTGTGTTCCAGATGGAGTTGGAGTCCTACTTTTAGTTTCATAGCAATGCCCAGGTCTTTAGACTGCTGTGGACTTCTCAACTTGGTTTGATAGGATCATACCATGACTGGGTTTTCAGTTAATCATAGCGTGGATTTTACACTTTAGCTCTGGCATTGTTGTTAAGTGCCATCAAGTCAGTTCTGACTCATAGCAACCCTGTATAGGGTTTCTAGGTGCGGCTGGTAGGTTTGAACTACTGTCCTTATGATTAGCAGTTCAATGCTTACCATAAAGTGTCACAGTAGGACTGCTCTGACATAGTTCCCAAATATTCCAACTTCAATGTGAATGTATGGCACATCTAGGGCCTTTGGGTAGTACTAAAAAAAAATTAAGGGAGTTTTAGGCCAGACATGAGCAGTATTCAATGTTGTCTCAACATTTAATTTCTCTGCTGCAGTTTCCTCCTTCATTTCTGTTTTTCTGGGCCTTCATCCTTCTAGTCTGGGAGGGAAATTTACCAAGTAAAATGTGAGAAGTGGAAGAACTTTCATAATGAAGAACTAAAATCTATTTATCTGCTGCCAAAATTAGAGAATCACCTCATATAATTGAGTTATGGTTCACAGAAACATGAATATACAGAGAATCTGGAAAACTGCAGGAAAAATAAAATCAGGTGAGATCCAATTTGTAAGCTCTATTTATGTGAAATGGAATGGCAGCATTGATGGGAATTGAAAGAGAATTGTGTTTCTGTCTTTATTCTTGTCAATAAGAAGCTGGTGATACACGGCATGGTTTGTGGTTGTGTGAGGAGTAGCCAGTGGGTAGAAGAGATACTGGTGGAGGGAAGAGAAAGGTAGAAACATGTAAGAAGTTGATAAAGGGTAATGGCCAAGACTTCAGAATGTTTCGGATGGAAAGGTCAATACTAGTATACTTCAATATCTACCTAAGAGGCACAAAGAAAAGTTTTGTCTGCTTTTCACTGATGGAAAAGGGGGGTGGGAAGCACTAAATGTGTTTATAATCCTAACAATAAAATTGAGTATTACTATTTTTAGAGTCTGCAAACCATATTCATGTGAAAGCTGGACTGTGAATGTGAAGGACCCGTGGAAGAATTGATGCATTTGAGTTATGGTGTTGGAGGAGAATATTGAGAGTACCATACATAGACCGCCAGGAGAACAAACAAATCTGTGTTGGAAGAAGTACAACCAGAGTGCTCCTTAGAGGCCAGGATGGCCCAAATCCCTCTCTCATGCTTCGGACATATTATCAGGAGGGATTCGTTCCTGGAGAAGGACATCATGCTTGGTAAAGTGGAGGGTCAGCGAAAAAGAGGAAGTACCCCAATAGATGGATTGGCACAGTGACAGCAACAATGAGCTCGAGTGTAGCAACAATTGTGAGATTGGTGAAGGACCGGGCCGTGTTTTGTTCTGTTATAAAGTTGCTATGAGTTGGTAAGAACTCGATGGCACCTAACAACAACAACAACAACAAAGGTCAACTTGTGGAGTAGTTTTATTTTGAACCTAGATTTGACTTCATTATACGAATCAAGTGAAACTAGAAAAGATTTGGAATTAACTTGTGAGCAAGCAAAGTCAATAGAAATACAGCATTTGACTGTGAATGCCGCCCCTCCCAATAGGCTGGCTCCTGGGACAAGCCATTCACACCAGGGCAGCTGCTTTCCCTGGAGACAGCTAAGAGATGAGCCTGAGGAAGGAAGGGGTTTGAGCTGACTCAGCTTCAGGACCCTGCTCACATCCACCTCCCTGGAACTCTCTAGGCCAACTGTGCCCTTGGGGTTACAGAAAAGATACAGCAGACTGTAGTGGGACTGTAAGTAGGAACTAGCAGTGCTAAGAACCCTATTGCTCAGACTTCTTAGACTTGACCTGCTGCTGCTTCGGAGAGCATTTACCTGTGAAAGAGAAAAAGGCAGATTTCTTTTGTTGTTTCTCTCTCTTTAAGCTTAGGAGGTGTCAGAGAAGGAAAGCCTGTGATGCAGCTCATGTATAGGCAGCTGGCTGATCGGGTGGAAAAGAGCCTCAGTGGATTAAGCGTTGTACTGCTAACTGAAAGGTTTGGTGGTTTGAAGCCACCAGTTTCTCCCTGGATGAAAGATGAAGCTTTACAGCTTTGGAAACCCTCTAGAGCAGTTCTCCTCTGCCCTCTAGGGTTGCTGTGAAGTTCAACCAACTCAATGGCAATGGCTTTTGGTTTGGTGAAGGTGGATTACCAGGAGGAGTTGGCGTTGCTGAACATGGATCTTGACTTTTGAATATGACCACACTCAGTGCCCTAGAGACTATTCATAGCTTTGGGATCATGGGATGCATCTTGGATTGAGGAGAATTTAATGAAATAATGCACTCCAACTTCAACACTCTGTGCTTGGAAAATGGTGGTAGTAATAATGACAATAGTAATAATCAACAATGATGCTGTCAAAAATAACATGAATACTGTTGTGTTGTTTGGTGTCATCAAGTCAGCTCTGATTCATAGTGACACTATCACAACAGAGCAAAACACTGCCCCATCCTTCCTGCCCCATCCTTCCTGCACCATCCTTCCTGCAGCATCCTTCCTGC